TTACGAATTAGAATACCAATTGGTGAAAAGGATCGAGAATGTTCCCCCATTTACACGATCATCCCTTCTCCAGAGACATAGCGAATCGACTGTGGACGAATTTACAACTCTTGTGCATAAACTTTGTTCTATTAGTGTGCTTCGCGTATTTTATATATTTATTTGCTGTTAGATTTCTATCTAACGTTGTTCACACTTTCACGTACACGGCCGTTGTTTAATTCGTTCGTTGAATATCGGCTTTGGCAGGCTCAAACTTTAGACTTTCTAAACAGGGTGAGCTGAAAGTCACTTCCTGCTAAAGTAAATTCATAATTTTAGTCTTCTTTAATTCTTCTTTCCTTTTACAGATTGAAGTACGTTAAAGAGAAAGGAACAAATTTATGCTTGAACTTAAATTTAATTTAAAATTGATAAAATTATATTTCTTATATATTTTGGTGTTTTATTCAAAAAAAAAAAAAAAAAAAAAAATAGGCGAAACTTTCGGCCCACCCTGTACAAACGCACAAATCTGGTAACGAGATTCGCAGCTTCCTCTACGTACGTTCAGACAGAAAGGGAAAAGAAATTTCCATCGAATTTTTATATCTGAAGTATCGAATTACTTCGCAGCACACGGTTGGGAACACGTTTATATTATTTACACCTACGATACGTGATGCTACATCGTCGTACGTCACACGGGGCAGAAATATCCCCGCCCCTGTTACGCAAAGAAAGGAAACGAGTGGATTTCTCCTAACGAAAAATGCACGTCCTTTATCCCGAGTGCATTACATTACTTGCGAACCGCTGCCGCAAACGTGTGTGTGTACATAATACAATGGATCAACTCGTAGCACGAGCTTGCACCCGCGTGCTTTTATTTCCTTTCTCTCAAGTAGCCGGCACAACAGATTCCATCACATTACGAGCCCTTCGTTACACAATGAAATCGTCTGTACTTTATGGATCTCTTTTGCCACGCGCTCGAGCTCGAAAATCAGAGCGCAAATCGAAAACAGGGGGCAGGGGGGGGGGAAGAGATGAGATCTGTCTGCAACTTTCAAGAATTCTTTCCGCGATTTCATCCACGCGACAGGCTGGAAATGGCCGGTCGATTTGGAGAACACTCGAGACGATAGTAAATAGAATATGTCACTGAGATAATAAAGAACAAATTTTAACGTAGAAACAATGAAAACTTTCGTGCGAGGCTTTGCTTTCGAGAAAGAATACCATTTTAAATATTCGTGCTTGTACACGCGAATAATCATTATTCGTGTTTGCATTTGTCGTGCGAGATAATGGAAAGCACAGGCGTAGAGTATTTCTATTAAAAGTTAAAATTTCATTACTTCGGAGATCGTTGAATTCCCCATATTTTCAGTGTGAAATATACAATTCGATCTTACTAAATTTGTATAGGATTAAATTTTCTATTATTCCGTAAAATTCACCGAATCGTTGCGTATTGTACGTCAAGTCCATTGTTTCGCCGCGTATCGGCGTGAAATTTATCGTTTCGCCGTTCTATGACGTTGTAACAAGCACAAACAGAGACGTCATTACTTCGCAGCGAGGTTCTTTCCTTTTTTTCATACTGTTTCGTCAAGTCGAGAAATGGGGAAATTTCAGTTTTCCCTTTAGAATTGTTCTATTTCTGTTTTCTTTGGAAATATCGCTTACCCATGAGCTCGTACCAGCGAAAGATCACGTCCTGTTTCAGCTTGATCGTGCCAAAGTTGTTGAAATATATCGTCATCACCGATTGATCCTTGACTTCCGTGTCTTTCCTTCGGATTTGCGATCGGTAGCGAAGGAAAAAGAGAAGATTTTTGACGCCGTTGAAATAAATAATATTGCAACTTACAGTATTTCGGAGACGTGTTCCAAACCGAACATGGCCATCTTCGCGTTATACTTCACGTCGCTACATTCGGGGTAACAGTCGCAATACAGGGTGTTCGTTTTCTCCATCTCTTCGTCGTCGTCGTACAGATTCCCGTGCGGTACCACGGACAACCATTTAGCTGCAATTTGAACGCAGAATTATGAACTTACAGATTCATTTTCCATTCTCCGTTTAATCGAATATAAGTATAACCGCTAGGCGAATTCCATGGCGTCACGTGGATAGTTCATTAATTAATGAATCTCGTGCAGAGGGCCGTGACACAGTGCCGTACAATTCAAAATTCGTAATCTCGAATACGCTGCTTACATTTATACTGCGACAAGCACGGCACGTCTTCCAAGTTGCACACCCTTTTGGACTCTGGAAATAAATATACGAGGGGATAATGAATATATCTGAGATATCCCAAGTGGTTAAATACGACAATCAAGTGTGAACAGAATGCAACAGAATTTGTAACTCTTTCAAAAGCAGCTCAACGCAGAAATTGTTAGGGACTCGACGCCCTCTCTGGGGATTTTCCTCATCTTAGAAAATTATTAAAGACTTTTGGATTCCAATCTAAATGGATTAATCATAAAATGCGTAAGTCAAATACTGCATAATGTTATTTCTTTTACATTTACATTCTCGTCGTTGTTGTATTCGTATGTATTTTTTTTCCTCCCTTAATAGCTCAATAAACAAACAAACAAATTTGAGAGGAAATATTAATTAATATTATCTTTGTCCCAATCTGTGTAATTTAATTTCTTTGATACAGGTTTCAGTCTAGATTTCATATTACGCGCGATCTGCTTTCAATCACTGAAAGGCAGTGAGAAATGTTCCTCGACAGACGAGCCGAGTCTCGTGGCTTCTCTAATCTCAGAAAGAAACGGGGTGTTGTTAATGTCTTGCAAAAGCATACTCAACGCCGTCGCGGTGTTCATTTCGACGCGGGGTGAAAGTGAAAATAGGGGATGAGAAGGAAGGGCCCTTTGAACGTTCCGTACGTTTCGCGGTGTCGACCTTGTCGCGCCTGTCTCTGCTTTTAAAACATTACCCAATGAAAAAACAACGCAAGAGCTCTTGTTTCTCTGGCTTGTCTTTCCCGATCAAGGGATTAGAATTCTGATTTCAACGAATTTCGACTTCTATTATTTGGTCTGACAAACGAGGAAATTTTAGTTCTATTAAATTTAATGTACAGATTATTAATGCCACATGGCTGTATCTTTTAATAAAGCATCAAATTTATACCATAAATTTATATTTACATATATAAATTTATACTATAAATGTGTGCACTATAAATTTATAAATTGTACAAATTTATATTCGTACATTTATGTTTATATATAATTGACAAGTTTATACTAAAAGATTACGTAAATTTGTGTTTATATAATTTATAAATTTATAGTACATATGTTTATACGTGGTACAAATTGTGTGTGTAGTAAAAATTTATTAATATAGTATATTGATACTAGTATGTAGTATCAGATTTATACTATACATTTACCGTATACAAATTTATACGATATGTAGCATATTGTAATCGTATAAATACGACAGTCAGTACTCTCTGGATTGCCGCTTGCAATAAAACATATCTTACCTCGATTAGGCAAAAAGAAAGGTATACACCCGCACATGTTCCACATGTCCACCGCTTTGCAATCGACAATGCAGTTGCTATAAGTGTAAAACCTCTGAAGCGCGGTCATTTCATCCTCGAACACGCAGTCGCGTTTCTCCAACGAATGCGACATGATGCTCCTCGTGCTGTCGAACATGATTGCCTCTAGTTGCACGCTCCGGTGCACCCTGGGAGAGACTAGAAAGTCGATCACCCCTCCGCTGGTTGTGTCCGGATAATCGTGCGGATTGAAGATCGTCACCTGAAAGTCGCGAGCAGTCAGACTGTTCAAAGACAAAATCGATAATATTCAATATTCTCGATAATCGAGCACGAAACAACAGAGAAGCAACCGGGTCGAATCGACTCGACGACGTGGCAGATATTCACAAGTCGTCGAGTATTCACTGTATTCGGCGAATCGTCTCTGGAGGGAGAAAGAAAGAAAGGGAAAAAAAAAGGGGGAGAGAAGGAAAGGACCCGCGATTTACATAATGCAGCAATCCTCGGCTGTCACGCGAGATAATCGTCAGGAACGACCCACATTTCCTGTGGCGTGATTACCAGCGAGACTCGTTTCTACTTGGTCTCTGGCTGGATTTGGCAAAATTCTCGTCACGGGCTGATTTCGGAACTGACGAAACCTATCCACCGGCGCGTGATCTTAATTCGCGAAAAATCGAATTTTTACCATCTGACCATGCCCGCGGCTGTCAGTTTAACTTGATGATATTGAACGCGCACGCCGACGCGATGATACTTGGAATATTATTCCGAGGCTTTCAGACTGAATGTTAAACAGCTTGTTTCCGAAGAATATTCGAGAAAGAGAGGAGGGGAAGCGGGAGAAAGACAAAGAACATAGGAGAGCGACGCCGCGTTCGCGGAATTAAAAATTCCGTAAGCGTTTCGTGCAGGCGCCAGCTTCGACTCGACTGATGAAAAATTACCTTCCAGCCAGCGCTCGGGAAAATAGGATAGAAGTAATCGTCTAGAAACGGGTCCAGCACCACCAACAGCCCCCCGTTCTCGGTCAGACTTTCCACCTTCATCGATTCCAGCTGATCCCTGCACAATACGTTTGACGTGAAGAAAGAGACTTCGCGAAGACGCGACGATAGAAATGGCGGCTCGCGTGCTTTCTACAAATTTGTATAACCATCACAATGATAATAACTTAACTAATCTATATTTTAAGTTAAATATATTGACATTCGGCTTATTATACATTATTAAATTATATCGTGAATATAATTAGATAATTTAAAAAAATTATTATAGATAATTATAGAAATAATATTATTGAAACTGTATCAAATGAAATAAAATTTTATACAGACTCAAGAAACAATATTACTTTTGGGGAATTATCTTTGA